CAGTACGAAGTAGAACAAATCCACGACAACATACTCAATCTACAACAAGTCGAGAACCCAAACGAGAATGCGAACAAACTCCAAATGTTGGTATTAACTCACCAAACCGGCTGTATCATAAATGACTGCCTACGTATCCTCTTGCCCAATGAATCAAACCTTCATGTAGTTCACCAAATAGCCTCTAAAGACCCTCAATCAAATAGAAGAGTTCTCAACTCTTCACCAACAATTCTGTGGTTGATAGCTCTCTCAATGGCCCCAAAGTAAAACAAACCAAACACCTCCACCTGAAGTGAATCAACGGCCATATCCAAATCCAAACTATGTCCACCAGCTGCACTCGAATCAACCAACTCATCATCTGCATCCAAATTCAAATGATACGCAAATTGTGTCACCTCGGCTGGAATCCCAAACGATGCAGTATGATCTAGAGTATGTGGAGTAACCTTCACCATATGTGGAGTAGCATCATCCTCCACCCGCTATGATATTCCAATGATCTGATCAACACTCTTCACTTGTCGAGAGTTAAATGTGACATACCTGCTCAGAACAAAATCAGAGTCTCCTATCTGATAACCAAACGAGCCTCTGAATCCCAAATGTACAATTGGATCAAATCTCACATCCTTGATGTGATCAAATGCTGGGCAACTAAACATCCGACGCAACTCAAAATCTGAAGCAGCTCCACCAGATCCAAAATCTCCACCCGCAGCAGTCGGCAACCTATGGCTAAGATGATCCAAATATGTCGAAGCTCCAAAACTCCTCTACAATCTAATGCTCGACAACCTACTCCGATCCTCCTCCAGTAAGGAACGATCAATCAAAACTGCCATCTCATCTTGTCACCCTAATGTTTTTCCTCCAATGAAGTGTCTCAAACTACCGTGAGCCCGACACAAATGCAAGAAAGAGCCCCTACTAAAATCAGCCAATACACTTCCTCCAACTGTTGTTAACTACTAGGACTTCAAACCAACGGGACTTGGTTGCAACCCACAAATACCTAGTCAATCACCAACATAGGAAACCAAATACCGATTACCTCCTAATGGTGCCTCCTCGAAAGGCCCCCAAATGTCTGAATGAACACCTAAAAGCACTCTCAACCGATGGATAGAAGTGCTAAACTCTACATCGGTCTTCTTGCTCATATCAATATGCTCAAAGGATTTCAATTTGCAAGTCAAAGCACTCCTCAACAAACCATGCACGACATAACCAATCAAATATCCCAGCCTTAACAAATGCCACAATCTAGCCAAATCTAAAAAAAGTCATCAGTTCTCTACCAATCACGGTGCTCCCAATCAAATAGTACAAATTCTTCCTCCTGACGTCCTTCATTACAATCATGGAACCAAATGTGACCTTCAAAAATGCATCCTCTAAGGTCACCCGATAGCCTGCTGCTTCCAAAACTCTAAGTGAAATAATGTTTTTCTTCAACTGAGGAACGAACCTCACTTCATCTAACTCCCGAATCACTCCGTCATACATCCTAATACGAATAGTACCGATACCACCAATAGGGCATTCATGATCATTACCCATGAGCAAGACATCCCTTCTTTCCAACTCTTGAAAGCTGGAGAACCAATCCCTCCTAGGGCAAATATGGTAAGAAACACCCGAATCCAACATCCACTTTGTAGAGTCGGCAACACAAACTGACGGTAGTGCTAATGAATAGCCTGAAGAATCCGAATCTGAATTGTCGTCACTAGCCTTGACAACATTCACCTCTGAAGCTTGAATAGTTTTCCCCTTATTTTTCCCGGCTCGATCAACCAACTTTGGGGATTCGATTTTCCAATGTACATCCTCTTTACAAAAGGCACACTGATTCTTACGAACTCCAGGATGTGCCCTTCTAGATTGCGATATTCTATTTCGGTTTGGACTCTTGGCTCTTACGGTTAATGCTCCTGCTACCGGCTCAACTGAAGTCTCCTTATCCTTCTTTCGAAGCTGATAATTTACAAGTGTAGCGGTGACCTCACTATACGAAAGAGATGTCTTCCCATTAATAAGAGTAAGAACAAAGGTCTCATATTTCTCGTCGGGCAAGGAACTCAATAATAACAACGTCTTGTCCTCATCTTTCAATCATCACATCTACATTCGCCAAATCCACAAGAAGCTTCATGTAGTAGTTTATGTGATCACCAATGGAGGTCCTTTTCTTCAATTGGAAGGGATAAAGCCTCCTCTTTAAATGTAAGCGATTTTTCACACTCTTAGTCAAATACTTGTCTTCTAGGATCTCCCAAATATTCTTAGCCGAAGTCTCATTGATCACATCATATTTCAAATCTTGAGTTAAACAAGATCTAATTACACCACACGTCGTTCTATTCATCTTCTTCCAAACCTTCTCCTCAATGTCGTCCGGTTTCCCGTCTAACTCTAATGTATCTTCCAAATTTTGCGCATTGAGCGCATTCAAGACTTCACATTTCTAAAGACCAAAATTATTTGTGTTATT